CTACAATTGACTGAAAAGAGTTTTAGATATCTACACATTTATATTTGCTCTGAATGAAACAACACATAAAGTGAAAACATATGTCTTCTGAGAAACAATGACTTTCTTCTTATATCAAACATAATTTGTTACTACATTTTAAATCAAGTTCATACTTATTGTAATGTTATACTAGTTTTTTATCTTTGCATTATTATTAAAACAAAAATAAGACTTCCACAAACTTTGATTTGCTCAGTATGTACCTTTCAGAGGTGTTTTTTTAAATATCTAGGTACTAAGAATATTTATATTTAGTTAATTTTAATGATGTTTTTACCAATGCCAAAGGCCTTTCAAAATGCATTATGTTTCTGTCGCTGTTTGAATAGCTTCACGTGTTTTATTCAGAATGCTCAGCTACTTAATGAGCATAGGACCTCAAATGCCATTTGGAAATATGAAACCTTTATCTTTTAACTCAATTTTGCTTTCATGCATAACATAACTCTAACATCACAGTTGTGATATTTATTAGCTGTCTTTGCAAAACCGTGGGCAATACATCTTTCACATTTCATTGAGAAGAAAAGAAACCTAATCCCATCAGGATCTCCATTATTAGTTCTTCCTCTTGATTTTTCCCTGTGGGGATTTTGTGTTGGCCAGATGGTACTCTGAAGAAGCCCTAGGCAGATCTGCATTTTACAAAGGCAAACTAGAATAGCAAAAATCTGCTTTTGAGTAAGGGGATTAAATTTTATATTTTGTCATCTGGCCCACTATGTCCAACCTCGCCATTATGTGGTTCATATTCAATATTGTACAGTTATTCTCTTACTGACACAGCAGTGTACCTTCCTTTTCAGTAAAGTCCTACTTTTAGTTTGTTCCATTAGTAACAGTAATTAGCCAATCAATTGCACCCTCTATTCCCTTGAATTCTACAATTCTAAAGAGTACTCTGCAAACCACATCTTTATGCTGGATCCTCTCTTCTAAGGGAATGTCAATCACATTTCATCAGAAGCAAGAATTGAAATGCTCCTTTCCATATTCATCACAGGATGTTGAGCTTTCATGGGGAGGAGTGGCTGAATGAAATGTTTGAGAATCAGTTTGATGAGAAATTGTTTATTTCTTGAATTGGCCCAACTCTCATTTTCAAACAGTGAGGTTTTTCAGGTAGTTGTCCTCACGATCAAAAATGTCAAAAACGGAGAAAGAATTCCAAGGTCACATATTCTATGGTAAATAATACTAAATAGAGCAACATCTCCAAGTGTTCGTTCCAAATCTTTTTTACATGAAATAAATAAAAATAATCTCCTTTGACACCGTCTCATTTTTGTCCCTTGTCTTTGTGGTGTCTCGGAATGTGTCCTGTCTATATAAAACCAGCTATCTTATTTCTAGAAAAGTATGGAATTATTTTGTTTTAGTTTTGTTAGGCACATCCAATACAAGTATGTAGTCCACCAATAAAAGTAGATAAAGTAACTGTCTAGCTTTTGTCTTACCTACTTATTCATGCTATATTCAAAGTTTAACATTTCTTCTCTAGCAACACTGAACAACAGGGGCTTTCCCAAACTAAGCATTTCCTTTCTTCTATCTTTGCCTTTGTAAGAGAATCTCTCTGTCTGGAATGTTCTTCCATTTCATCATTGTCCATTGATGTAAATGTCTATTCTTCCTTCAAAATTATGTTCAAATTTCGTGTTTATGAGGCTTTTTCTAGACATCCCTTTCTAAACACACCCACACACTCACAGACTAGCTGTTTTCTCTCTTCCCAGCCCTTTAATAATGCTTCATAGATTAGTTCATTGAATTAGAATTATTTGTCTATACTCTCCTCTCTTATTAGATTGTGAGATGCCTCAGGCCAGGGTTACATCATTTATTCATCTTTGGATTCCAGGAACTAGCTCAGTACTGCCATGGTAACAGGCGCTCAATATGTATCTGTAAATAACTGACTGCACAGAATATGCTGACTTTTGTAAAAATTATTCTTAAATGCTGGAAAATAATACTATTATTTTTCTGTATTGAAGTCAACATCATCTGTGACCATAGTGATCAAATGTAGGTATGTTATTTCAAATAGACTTATGTCAAATACACTTAGTGTGGTGATCATTTTGCAACATACACAAATATCGAATCATTATGTTGTATACCTGAAACTAACATAATGTTATATGTTGATTATATCCCAATTTTTAAAAAGTAGATATGCGATTTTAAAAGTTTAATTTTGAAAGTTTTTCATGAGATGCAAGTAAATTTTAAAATTCTTAACTGAGAAAAGAAAAAAAGGGAGGGGTAGAATCTGAATTTATTTGTCAAAAATAACTCATATTTGGAATATAAAATGGAGGGACTGGAGTAAAATAAGACTTCAACTAAAAGGCAAATTGAAAGAGTGATCTCTTTATAAACGTCTTTATGATTAATTCGCAAAAGAAAAAGGAGAGTTGAAGTAAAAGAGAATTAAGGGCTTAATATCACCGCTGATTATTTTAGAAGGTGACTAAGGAGAGGCCTCAGCAATTTACCAACAGTCTAGAATGACCCAAATTGTATTTCATACTCTTTTTAGCTCGTTTTAAACTGAGCCAAGACATTTTCTATTTTGAAAACAAAAATAGAAACTGACTTAGAACAAATTTATAAAATTATTCATTTAGGATACATAACATTTTTTCCTTACTATTTCTCTGATAACCACAAAGATTTGATTTTCTGTTAAGATGATTAAAATGATTTTACTAAGAATGTTTCTGGATGCTTGGAAGAGAGGAAGCCAGTTTATGAGTTCCAAAATAGCAATATTTGAAAACACGAGCATGAAAGAACTTTTGTAAGCATTCTTGGAATGATTTTTTTCTCTCCGCACCCCCCACCCCAACTTAAAAAAAAAGCTTTGGGTGGAGTTGAGCATGCTTTTCAAATCTTAAACAATAACTGGAAATCCTGAAAATGTATTCTCCTTTATCCACTGGGGAAAACACTTTAAAGCCCTTTTTGCCCCTAAGAATTGTTTAGCTAGAGATTTACTTAGTGGTTTCTATTTTGAACCAAAAATTCAGTTTTAACTGCCTGAAATATAATACCATCTGTGTTTATGTCCACCCCCTACAAAACAAAATTCTTTTTTTCAAACATAGCAAATACATAGCCCTAATAACCCAGATAAATGTATCAACTCAACTAATTCTTTAACCAAGTGGCGAAATTAGTTAAAAGACTTAGAATATGTACCACAAAAATGTGAATCTGATTGCAGATATAAAACATATTAAGCATACCTGTAAATTTAAAATTTTTAAGTATTTTGATTAATAAGTAATTATGTCCTTTATATATATATTTACCAGGGTGGAGGTAGCTATGAGGTGAGAAATAGGGGCACAACACACGCCATGATGTGGGCAGAGAAATGAGCCAGGAGCCAGAGGACGAAACACTCACAGAATCACGCTAACCGCAAGTTCCACAAACCTATACCACCTGTGGGCCCACTCACACATCTATCTGGAACAGCAGCATCTGGCACGTGGAGACCACTCAAAAATAATATTTTAACTTAGTAATAATGTATTTTAAATGACTTTAAAAGTGCGAAGTGATATACAAACGTGAAACATCATTATGTATTTATATTTAAGGTATTCTCCGCTGATTAATTTCTGTATGTATCATTCTGGCGGTTCTCTAACGTAAGAAGGGGACTTAATCTCTTTTCCACCAAGTCTTCCACGAGAAAAAAAAAAATCCACACATCTTACGTAGAGTTTATTTGCATTTCAAAGAATGCTTAAGTTCTGTTCATCAATCTTTACTACAGCCTGACAATTCTTACATAGCGATGTTAGCCTTCAAGAGTATCCTGAAGCATGATTCTTTTTGGCCTTATTCAGAGAAATATGATCTCTAATATCAGCCCCAACTTTGATTCCAGAAAGTTTATTTAGTGCCGTGTTTTCTATTCTCAGGAAATAGAGGATGAGTTATAAGCCATCTCAATGGACACATCGCTAAACAGCCAGGCACACCCTTAGTGCCTGATCTTTCCTGGGTCTACTTAAGCCTTCACAGGGCATGAGTCTTCAGAGGGCACGGGAGCAGAACAGCTCCCAAGTCATCCTGATATTCACTTGAAAAATAAAAACTAAGGAGGACAGTGGCTAGACTCCTGCTGCTATCTGAAAATCATGGGTGATTTTGACTCAGGAAAGTCTAATGTTCCTAATTCTCTACCTACTATTTCTCAACTTGATGGTCTGTATAGAGGAACTGAGAATTGTACACTTTTCAGACATACAACCCTGAAAGCAGTTCCTGCTTCTCCCTTTCCCTTTGCCCAGAAGCATCTCTAAAATAAATTCTTAATTTGCTATGGAGAAATGCTTAACACATTCTATGTTTCACTGATGTTTGCAGTTGGTTATCACTTTACATCGTTGGTGTCTAGCCTTCCTTGGGCTCTAAACCTGTTTCCTAAAGTTGCTTAATATGCATTATGTAGAATATTGACATTCCATATCTCAACGTTTTTTAATTCATAATATCTCTTTCCCCTGATATCTACCTGAGGAGTTAGACAAATACTTGTATGGCAAAATAAACCAGCCATAATTAAATGACAAATTCTAACTTACAAATTCTTCAACAAAGCAGACAAAAACATAACTTACAACGTTAAAAAAATGATCAATAATAAGAATATTGTCTAGTTAAAACATTAGTATAGTACACAAAATTAAACAATAAAGGAATACTTCTTTCAATTTCCTTAGAATAAAAGCAATTTATTTTGTATATTAATTTACCCATTTTGTCAAACAACATAACACACGAGGTAGTGATGAGTGTTTAGTATCCCCAGTAAAGATTTTATGTCAATAACCAATCTTACCATTTCTTGCCCATGCCTACAACTTAGTACTTTTTGAAAACATAACTGAAGAAGGGAAAGAGTATCAATATTGCCAAATTTGACCCATACTCACGAGAGGATATTCCCAATATAGGCATAGTAGGAGCAGCAGTAGGGCGTGGTTCCATCACAGCAATAAGATCTGCAGTCTTTGCCGCACTGAGCAAGGCAGTTGTCTACAAAATAAAAGCAGGTGCAGTTATAGTTCTGAAATCACAGCTTCAGGAGAAATCATTCTATTTCATATCTTAATTGGTCAATGACCTCTCTTCAGTGCATTTCTATCTTCATTTTACCTACTCAGAATTCTAAAACATTTGTAATCATCTAAACTAATCCTTCTTCCCTCTTAGTCATAAATCTAGAAAAGGCAAAGACCATTCTACTTTGAATCTCCTGTGTCAAGTACCATAATTAGGAGTCAGAGTGGGTTGAATGAGATAATGAAGGGGGGAATGAATGATCCAACTAGTCAGTCATTCAATTTGTCAATAGAGTTCTTATAGTAATTCTTAAATGACAAAGTCTTTTGACTTTACGGTATTACTACCAATTAACTTCATTTAATGGAAAGTGTTATTGACATGGATAATGTCAAATGGAAATAATTTTTAAATAATGTATATTTTTCATGACCATGCATTTTGTGCTCTTCTTTCTCTACCATTTTTTACCTTCAAAATTACAGTTTGCACACATATGATAAGACAAATGTCTGCATATCCTGTCAATCTATTTAGATTGGAGGATAATGAGTTAGTTATAGGAAGAAGTTCCCATGGATAATTAACTTGTGAATAATTAAGAGTTTAATGTCATATTTGAGAATTATTAAGCTATGAAATAGCACTGTTCACATAGTGAATAGCACTTCACTATGTGAAGGGGGAAAGATTATTTTCTGACTAAAATAAACATGTTGGGGCTGAAAACCAAATTACTGTCTTTTTTCTAAGTGTTTTGGAAAGGAAAATTATACCAAAGACGGTGAATAAAAATTACTCTAGCTTTTAAAAATTCTTTACCTCATCAAAATGATTTAGGTTTAATAAGTTAAGGTTATCATTTAGTTATAATCAGTGGTATAAATTATAATGGGTATGTGAGTTTCAGGTACATGGTTAGGAAAACATTAAGTATAATATGAAAATGTAAGTTACATGTTCAAGAATCACAAAATAAGTCACTTCCAACTCAATCTGTGAAGGTAATAACTACTATCTAAATTATATAAGACTTTTGTTTTCCTGTCAAAGTCATAACATAAAAGTGCAAGACGTTATATTTATGTCTACATGTCCCTGTAATTGATTTATCTAGAAAGGAAAATTCAGATTTTGCTTTGAAATCACCTCACTACCAAGATAATTGTTTACAAATGGATGTGATCAAAAAGTAACAAAGTTCATTCACCTTTATCAATAATGCATGGCCTTTGTGTAACAAGTGAAAAAATTCATATTTTCTTCCCCTCAATTTTACTTCCACCTCAGAAATGAGCAAACCTGGATGTTTTCCTCTGGGATATGGTAAGAAGAAATGAGAGGAAAAGATAATTACCTTTGTAAGATTCAGTGACTGCTTAAATCCACTTTAAAATTTTGAAGCCAGAAATACAATTTAATGATTTACTGATAGTGTATGCTTTTTGCAGAGTGCATCACCCTTTTTAAGGCTATTTATTTTTTTGTTTTCCCGGTGAATTTCTATAGCTCTCATTTTTAGTGACGTTTAATTAATTCAAATATTTAGACTGGTCAGTTATCTCAAGGGCTTAGCAGGGACATTTTGCTTCATGTTCTTCAAAGCCATTCAGATAGCAAGAGAAGGACACTTCTGTGGGGGAAGGACAACCAATGTGTAAGTAGCTTCATGGGCTGCCTTTTTTTTTTTTTTTTTTGCTGAGGAAGATTTACCCTGAGCTAACATCTGTGCTAATCCTCCTCTATTTTCTATATAGGTCATTGCCACAGCATGGCTGCCAATGAGTGGTGTAGGTCTGAGCCTGGGAACCAAACCCAGGCTGCCAAAGTGGAGCATGCCGTACTTAACCACTAAGCCACAACTCTGGCCCACAGGGTGCCTTTTGAAGGATGCCCAGGACAGAGACATCTTATTAAGCTCTCATGAATACCAAAGACTCGATTACTTGGACTCCAATTACTACTATTATAAGGACACGGTGTTATCAAAATATTTTGAACCAATGTTACAGGAAACCAAGCCCAAAATCTTGTAGCCAAGAAGCTGGATTATACCTGAGACAAACATCTAGATCATGTCACACATTGTTCATTATTTTTATGGCATTTTCCAGCACTCATGTCTACTTCCCAGAATTAAACAACTGAAAAAGACATTTAATCGTGTTGCAAATACATTCACAATCTCACCATTTCCAGAGGTTTCAACCACACCTCAAAACCTATTATGATGCGTTACTTGCTTTCACCAGTTTGAGAATAATTCTATGAAGATTAGAGTTTGGATGATACAAGAGCATTTTCTCACTTGTAAAAGAAAGGAATGTTCCAATTGTCCTCAGAAGGTGAATAATATTACTTCTCATACTCAAGTTAATATCCTTGAACATCAGCCACCTCAAAGTTTCTTCAGTGACTTTAATTCAAGGCACGGTGTGGAAGAAGTCCCCGTTCCCTCCCTTTCCCCTTGCCCCTAAGGAATGTGTAGCGCAGGAAAAGCAACATCTGGCTCCAAGCACTTGCTCAGAAATGGTTCTTCAAGCTATAGCTAAGGATAAGAAAGGAAGGAAAGGGAGGGGACAGAAGTCACTGGCTGAGGCCGGGAAGGTGAAACCTTGGCCAGATCCTGTCTTTGTAGCCAGCAGTGGGAGTTGCATAATAATATAAACACTTCACTGGGTCTCTTTCCACAAGCGATTCCGTAGTAAAACATGATGCTTCAGGTATAGAAACCTTGCTGTGAGAGCCTTAACAAATAGAACGTGTATTTAATGCATTTGCTTTGGGGGAAATAATTCAGGTTATGGACAGTTCACCTGCTTAGGTTTTTGTCCCATTAAAATTGGCAATTCATTTACCAGGGTGCCTGAACTGTTTTTATTTCTGCAGTGTTCCCCCATCTCACCCCAATCCTCACTTCCAGCTGGAGCTCACAGTTCTAACCAAACTGAATTACCTACTTTTGCATATACACATCTCATGTGATATGCTCACAGTATATCCTACTCCACCTCCTATGTCCGAGGCTTCTCTATCCATCAAAGGTCTCACTCCTGAAAGTCCTCTTCAGTTCAATTTCTCTGAGCAAATATTTACTGAGCTTCTCTTACGGGTCAGGCGTTTTGCTGTCTCTGAGAATATTATGCTGAATGAAACAGACATCATCTTCGTGGACCTTACACTACTAAGCCAGCAATAAGGTCCCCTCCTTTGAACACCTATAGCACGTGCTTGCAGCACTCCTATGACACAGCCTTTTATACATTAAAGTAACAGGCACACTTTGTCTGCCCGCAAGACTTAGAGCACGGCCTCTGTCCAACACATCACTCAACATATTTCACTCAGTAAATATTAGTTGAATCAATATGGCAGGCGTAAAAAGGCCTTTGAAATAAAGAGTTCAGGAATTAACACCAAACACACTAGCTCAACATTTCTTATCCAAGACAATAAGTCATTATTGGCTTGTGATACTTTGTAGCTTGTTAGGGAGGGTGGGTAAGGAGGCGAGAAATGGAGAAAGCTTTCTAAACTAACCAACCCTGCTGCTGGGCAGCTTTGTGAGTTTCCTGAACCTGGGGTGGGGGTTGGGGGGTTGAGGGGGGTATTTTGTACCCAGCCCTGGGGGAACAGGAGGAAAGGAAACTAGAAGCTTTTGGCTTTACCATGGGGAATAAAACAGACAAAAGAATAAGAAAAGTTGTTGTTTAATGGTGTGGTTGATTAAGGCAAACGAGGGTATTAAAGTTTTATTTGCTGTGTTCTATTTTCTTGTTTTTGTTTTCTTTTGATAAGCAGAAGAGGTGGAAATATTATCATTACTTCAAGTGAATAAAGATATTTTAATATAAAATTAGTATTAATGCAATTGATTCTGTTAGTCTCTCAAATTCTGAAAGCCTTATACGATTTAAGTAAAAGAAATACGTGTTGTAAACAGATTACAGTGTGGATTCTCGTTACATAGGAGGTATTTTTCCTACTTTTATGAATTTCTGTGTTTGAAAGTCAGCTTTTTCCCTACAATAAAATATCTTTAAAATAACTTATAGATAGCCACTAATTTGGATTTTAATAAAGAGTTAGAAAATTACTCCAGAAGTTGTGGCTCATTTCTGGCAAGGTTGAATGAGCAATTCAACTCTTTTGATGTTCAGGTAACAACGTTGCAGAACATCTTAATTCCACTTGCAGTATCTTTTTAAGTACCAAAGAGTAAATCATAGCTCTAAACATAAATTTAGTATTGCAAGGTCATGCGTAAGCTGTGGATTTTCTCATAGGGAATTAAAGATATGAAAACGTTTCATAAAGAAATTTGCTGTTAGTTTGTTTTGTGAACAGGAAGCAGATGCCAAACCACATGTGTAATTAACTTTATACACGAATAACCAATGAAAGGCCATTTTGGACTCCATATCAACTACAATAAAATCAACTACTAAAATAAGAAAACAGCTTTGCTTCATCAACTTTTCCCAATTCTCACTAAGAATAATTAGGAGGAGGGAAATGAGATGCCCTTCACCTGTAAACAAGTTCTTAAAGAAATCAAGGAAAGCAGATTAGATTCTGGGTGAATTTATGCCTCTCAAAAACCTTATATTTGAACTCAAAGCATCCAGTTGCCCAGTCTACTATGCTTGAGAATCATCTTCTAAAGAATTAAAATAAAAGTGTAAGGCTTTTGATTTCTGAAAGGGAAAACCCAGAATATTCAGAATGTGGAGATGGACGGGCAGTGGGTTGTCTATACTGAAATGGAAAAGTCACCAGATTAGTTTATTTTAAAACTTAAGCAATACCTCTAAACTTCAGGTGCCTTTTAAAAATGCTTTCCTCCCACCGCTCAGCCTCCGCCCTCACCCCCAGATTCCTCCTGAGTCGTGGTTACAATTGGATACCTTTACGCTCCCCACAGAGTAAAATTCCCTAAACCGGGATTGGGGTTTCCACGTTGCTTTGCAGAGAGAGAGAAAGAAAAAGGAAAGAAAAGAAAAAACGAAAAGGAACAGAATAAAACAAAACAACACTGATTGGAGATGAGCCGGGGTTCCAGCGCGCGGGTTCTGCTCGCGCCCCAGCCGGACCGCATAGTCTCCCCTCCCACCAAGGTCCCGGTGCGTCCCGCCCAACCCGCGTGGCCCGGTGTGCGACCCAAGCGCAGCCCCCAGTCCCCTTCCCCTCTCCCGCCGCCCTGTGTCACTGACCTGCGTAGACAAAGAGCAAGACCAACTTCGGAAGCAAAACCACTGGGCACCCGGGCAGCCTGCGCGCGTCCATCCAAGCCGGTGGCCGGAGGTTGCGCGCCAGGACAGAGGGACAGACAGAATGGAGAGAGGACTGGGAGTGCAGGGAGAACCCGGAACGGGGAGGGGATGGAGGGGTGGAGGGGCTGGTGGGCGGTCAGAGGAACAGGGACGCGCTCCCGAGAAGGGGGGCGCGCGGAGACCTGGCCATTACCCTGGGAGCCTTCGAGGGGAGCCCAGGCTGGCCGAGGTCTCTTTGTCTCTCCTGGTCGCGCTCGGCCAGCGGGCGGGCGGCCGTTCGGCGTCCTCGGCCACCCCGACTCACATTTCATCTCCGCGGGTGGCACCAACTCAGGGGCGGGAGTGGCCCGACTCCTCCCCATATTCCTGTTCTTCCATCTATAGAGTGACTCCGGGAGCAGAGCCCTCTCCTAAAGGAACTTTTCCTAACCCTTTGCTTTGGCCATTGCTATGGAGTTTAGCAAGCTCCTTTTTCGCCCTGCCCTCCTGTCCAATTTTTCCATTTCAAACAATGGGTGAAGAAGAACTTGGTTTTTTATCTTTAAACAAATGGAAGAAATTTTAAAAGTTGAAGGTATTGGACCAAGAAAGGCAGTGAAGAAAAGCCAGGAGAACTGGAAAGTTCAGAAACAGTGTATAGTATCTCTGCTGAAAGCTGATACAATGTTTATTTATTAAATACCTAAAGCATTTCCAGTGAAGTCAGGGAAAAACACAACAGGGATGCACACTGTCATCACTCCTATTTGACACTATCCTTGGAGTCACTGGCCTATGCAATTAGACAAGAGAAAGAAAAAAGAATTATAAAAAATTGGAATACAGGGGGCCGTGGGGTGGTGCAGTGGTGCATGTTTTGCTTCAGTGGCTTGGTGTTCTCTGGTCCGGATCCAGGTGTGGACATGGCACTGCTTGTCAAGCCATGCTGTGGTAGGCGTCCCACATATAAAGTAGAGGAAGATGGGCACGGATGTTAGCTCAGGGCCAGTCTTCCTCAGCGAAAAGAGGAGGATTGGCGGCAGATGTTATCTCAGGGCTAATCTTTCTAAAAAAGAAAAATTGGAATACAAATTATCATTTGCACACAGTATGCTTGTATACTTGGGAAACAAAGAGAATCAACTATAAAGCTCTTAACTAAAGTTGAGTAACTAAAAAGTCAATAGTTTTCTTTCATGCAAATAAAAATCCGAAAGTTCTTAGTTTTACGCATGAAGGAAAAAAAGGACATGAATAAGTGAATAAAGATATCTCTCTTGACTAAGAAAATTCAATATCATAAAGATAACATTTTCCCAAATTAATCTATAAATCTTGGAATTAAAATGAATTCAATAAAAATACCAACATGAATTGTTTTCAAACCCATCTGGTTCTAAAGTTTACATAGAAAATAAACATGTAAGAAGAACTATAAAAAAATGAGAGTGATGAATGCAATAAACCGCAACAGATAATAAATATAGCATCACAATATTTGAAACAGTTTTGATTAATACTAGAATAGATAGGCTCAATGGAACAGAATAGAGAATCCAAAAATAGAGATATATGTACAGAAATTTAATTTATGGTTTAAAAAGTATCATTTTAAAGCAAAGGGGAAATTATGAGATATTCCATGAATTATGTTGGGGCCATAAGTAGTCATCTGTGAAGTCTTTACCTACTTTCATCAAAATCAATTCCATATGAATTAAATATGCAAACAATTGTTGCACACAACTCTAGGAAAGGCTGGCTGCTGCCATTGATGCCAGCAGGAAGTTGCCATATTGGTCAGAGCAGCCTCTCTCAGCTTACTTTTGATGACAGAGAGGCTTCTCCTCATAGGGTTCAACAGATTGACCAAGCAAGCCTGCTGCTTCACCATTGCAAAAAGAAATTCCATCTTAACATACTCAGGTACTTAGGAAACCCACCTCTATTGACGTCCAAAGGCAAAGAACGATATCAAGTCATTTAAGGAAATGTGGCAGTGTGAAGAAAGAATTTGAAGGAGAAATACAAGAAAAAACCTATATAGGTGTATGTATATACATGTATACACAAAAATATATGAAATGAGAAACCTTCAGAGCACAACATTAGAAGGCATAAAAGAATTTCTGGGAATTAACATAAAACTTGATTTGAGATTTTAAAAGATCACAGAAAAAATTTATAAAATGGTCACATTAAAAAAAACTTAGACTGTTAAATCAAATAGCATATTTCATAACAGAGAAAAATATACAAAGACATAGAAACCATGAATAAAAATATAAAAAACTGTCACATAGAGGAGACCTAATATGATAATAATATGCAGGCTGCAGCAGTTTTAGAAGAAACAAAAAGTGACGAAACAAACACCAAAAAGATTATTTATTAAAATTCTAAACTATAGTAAAATTTTAATTTTCAGATTTGAAATGGTTAGTTCCAAGAGTAATGTTTTTAAAGAGGCATGCATGTATCCTACAGACGGATTCAAAGTATAATTTGAAAATCATAGAAATTTTCATGTGTTATAAAAAATTTACTTAAAAAAGAAAAAAGAATCAGATAGGCATCTGATTTCTCATTTGCAACCTTGGAATTTAAAAGAGAGTGAAAATATTCCTCAACTGTTGAAAGATAAAGACTGTCTAAGAATACTATTCCTAAATCAGATTCTATTGATATTTGAGTCCATGAAGATATTTATAACAGTATTTATTATCATTTTAAAATGTGATAAAGAACTTACATGTCCAACCGAAGTAGAACAGTTTAGTAAATGAGGATCCACACATATTATGGATTAATATCCAATACTTTAAAATGCTGGGGAAAATCCTTAACATAAACAGATGAAGGGAAAAATGGGAAAGGAAAACTGAAAATAATCCATGGATAAACAAATTGTGCTATATCCGTACAATGAAACACAACTCAGCAATAAAAAATGTTTGAAGTATATGCAACAACATGGATAAATCTCTGTAACAATATGCTGAGCAAAGAAGCCAGACACAAACAAATGACTGTGCAATTTTGTTTATAAAATTCTAGAAGGACACGATTAATCCATAGTGACAGAAAGCAGATTAATGGTTGCCTGTGGGAGGGGGTAGGAATAGGAGGTTGATTGCAGAGGATCACGAGGGAACTTTTTGGGGGTGATGGAAATATTCCATGTCTTGATAATGGCGGCTGTTACATAGGTGTATACATGTGCCAAAGTCACGTAACTGAACACTTAACAGTACACTTAAAATGTGTATGTTTTAGTGTACATAAATTATACCTCAAGGATATTGATTTTGTGTGTGTATGTGAGGAAGATTGTCACTGAGCTAACATCTGTTGCCAGTCTTCCTCTATTTTGTGGGTGGGACACCCCCAGAGCGTTACTTGATGAGTGGTGTGTAGGTCCATGCCCGGGGATCTAGACCTGTGGACCCCGGGCTGCCGAAGTGGAGCACACGAACTTAACCACTATGCCACTGGGCCAGTCCCAGAAGTTGATTTTTTTAAAGCTGTAATTAATACATATATGGTGTCCATTGCTGAAATTCTAATTAATGGTTATTACATAATTTTCTCAAAATTTTACTTAAGGTTCTACATAGCTCTTAGACTATAGTAAATGCTAGTTTTAAAAAAGATGGCAAGTTCATTTTGCAATATTATTTCATCATTAAACTCAGAATACTTAAAAGTATAGAAAAATGCTCATGGTCTCTCTAAGGAGGAATCCAAGCTGTATTTACTTTAAGATCCTAATTTAGTATATGCATAGACATGTATCTTTATTCTTGTTTTTAATATTTTATTTAAAAAGTACTGTTTTGTAATGAGAAAAATGAGTTTTTAAGTAAAATCTTTTAGTCTGATCATGCCAATTAGAGTGAGTATTTCCTAACAACTAATACGAAAGCTTTTAAATACCACTGCATTTTGAAAATTGAATGATTTAACCTCTGGAGATATTTTAATTTCAGCTACGGTTCTGAAGTTTTAAGGGACATGTTTGTTAATGGTCATTTATTAGTATAGCAAGAGTAATTTGGTGTGGCATTTGTATTACAGTTCTGCTTTTGAATGATGTATATATCTACATTTTAAATGCCTGGAGATGACTAAAAAGCTATACATGATATACAACAGCTGAGGAATTTTAACCTATAGGTATAACTCTTATTTGGAACTGAAGAGTTAAAATATGATAGGACTTCAGAAACTGTCTAGGTCAGTTTCCCTGTTTTATAGAGGAGAAAACTAAAACCAAATTACCAAGTCAGTTTGAGGTAGGGCAGAGTCCCATGCTGAGAGGTCACAGATCAGATATTGCTCTGATATGATGAAGTTTGCCTATTATGTGATTTCCTTTGAGTTCTCCTGACCCACAATTTCTTTCTTCAAATAATTTATTTCACCATAAAGTCAGACTGATCAGTATAACTTCCTGTAATTAGTTACTCATTAGTAAATAAGACAAAAATATTTTATGTCCATTTATGGCTTCTGGTCTTCATTTTCATTAGAAAATGTGTGGATGCCAAGAAAAAAAGTGTCCGTACAGACATAGGCAAAAAACCCAGAAGAAAGCAAGGAGAAAAAAATGAAGAAGGAAAAGGCAGATGACCTAAATGTGGCTTTCAGAGCATAGAAAGATTATTGAATGCTTATTAGGTGCCAGGACCATTTCTAAGTTCTTCAAAATTTTGATTAATACTCTCAACATCCTGAGGAGATGGATACTAATATTATTAACACCCTTGTTATATGAGCAAAGTCATTGAGGCCCAGCGTGCATAAATAACTTTGCCCAAGGTCACACAGCAATGAGTGGTACCCTGATAGTGTCACTCTGATGCAGGGTCGGTGGGCCGAGGAGTCGAAAGAAAGATTTCTTAGACTCTTAAGATCTGGCAGTAGCGCTCTTTTATTTAGAGAATAGTATAGAATAGCATGGGGACAGGACCCATGGGCAGTCAGAGCTTCTGCTGCCCCAAGTTGAGGGTTAGAGCTAAATTTAAGGCATAGGTATGTGAGTTATCTCTTTACGAGACAAAGAAAAAAAAGTTAAAATGGTACCAGTGCCGGTAGGGTCCGGCCATTGGGCGGTCCCACAACTTTTAGATAAGAATCAAACCGGATTGAGTAAATGGCAGAAGTCACCGCTCAAATATTATCTTCAGCTAAAGACAAAGGAGGATTTTGGGGTGGGGGGGGTCAGTTACATGAGGTTGCCAGACGGTAAACAACTTAAGTTCTTGCCTTCCCCATTAAGAGTTTCCAGAGATAAGGCCATCCCCTCTTCCTCCTGGCGCAGAGAGGGAGGCATGGAGATTTCCTT